TTAAATACTGGAAAAAACAGTAATTTCAGCACTGATTCCTTCATATAGTATCCTTACAGCCTTGTAAGAATTCATACTTTTGCCTTTTTAACGATGCTGGCAGGTGATAGTAGAGATGTCTTTTATCAATGATAGACACTTTTAGCTGATAAATAGACTATGAATGGACTACTTTATGGTTGTACTTCTCCAGTACCCCATATTTAGAAAGCATTAGTAAGATTACGTAGTTAAAAGGAAAAGAGAATGTTTCAAGAAGAGAGATAATATCTAAGACTTTTTATGAAGTCACAATTAAGATAATAAGCAGCCATTAACATTTATTGCTTATAATGATAAAATAATCCATTCCTTACTTTTCAGGCCCTCAATGATTTACATCATTGAGAAAATGTGACACCATATTTAACTGGAGATTTTCCTTATTCTGATTTCTGCTGTGGAATCTAAGAAAGGCTCTAAAAAGGTGGAGTCAAATATAGCGATTACTACCATGAGGCTAACTAAAGCAATAATTACATCAAGAGAAAGTCACTAAAATTGGAAAGAGAACTTGGTAGTCTACTGCTTTCCTGCAAATTGGCTCTCCATTTTCTTTTTCTGTTAGTCAACGCTGTATTTTTTCAGTGTTGCAAACTGTTTTCATATCAAGAAGCTATGTTTTCAGTGCAGATACCCCACCTTGTGCATTGCTACCTAGCGAGGTGGGTACACATAAATACACATAAACTTCCTTAGTCTAGAATGTCACCGTGGAATGCCTGTGAGATTCACAGAGGAATTTTCAATGACTGAATTCACCACACACTTCTCATTCTTAGCTGGGCTGTTCCTCGTTGTAGAAGAGTTAATTTGAGCGAATGTCTGTGCAGCTGTTCCAATAGGTAGGCATTCAACTGATTTGAGCGTATTCTCCTTGTAGCTCTGTAGCCTGGTTCTCCACATTTTCTGTGGCGTGCCACAAAGAAGTGGATGTTTCCTCAGATCTAATTTACTCCTTTTAATAGTCTTGGAGGATTCTGCAAAGGGTAACTTACTTGGTAGAGTACCTTTTAGGACAATGCTACAGAAGTAATCCTTCTGTACCATGTTTTCATGCTAGGCATAACTGATGGGCAAGATATCTTATGATTCTCAGGCAGCTTTTTTCATATAACCAAGAGGCTGATTCAAAAGCCTCTGATTTTAATTATGAGCACATTCCCAAAATAGAGAGGAATTAGAACGTTCATAGACTTTAACGATTTTTATTCCACATTGAGATGAATTACTCAACTATGCATTGACTCACAACAACTTAGTGTCTATTTCAGTGAAGTATTTATGATCCAAACTAAATATTAAGACTCCAAATTGATCCATTTTACTTACAGGCTGTACTTGTATGCTTAATGTTAGGTATGCTTGAATACCCTGCTGGATGTTCCCCTTCACCTCTGGGCAACTAAGGCAGAGACCTAGCTCTCAGCTTTCTCATCCCTAATATGCAAGTAATGTTAAATATCTGATAAACACTGTTTAAAACGCATTGTATTAAGTGTTATAGAGGATAAAAAAATTGTTATAAGGCAGCAAATTTTTCTTCTTAAGTGCCAAATAGGCTTTTAGCACTTTTGGGGGCAAGTTAAGCATGCACATTGTTAACAAGTAATCAGATGAAAGAGTTGCTGTGTGTACCTGTCTGATACCTCACCACAAGCGCTCTGCCTCTGCCTTCTACTGTCATCCCACTTACCTCTGACATCAAATCGTGGTGGAAGACTGGCTCAGCAGAGACATCAAACATTTGACTTGTATAACACATTATATGTCGTCTATGAACTTTGTGAAATTGCTTGAGCAGTCTTTCCCAACAAAGGTGGTCATGACAATTTCATAGGGAAGGAAATAGAACTAATCTATATAGACAGCTGCCTTTTGTACTTCTTTTTTTCTCTATGCACTTTTCAGACTACTTCAAGGATGCTCAGGTGTATTTGTAAATTTTACTCGGTTCTCCTGTCTCCTTCCCCATTTTTGTTCTCCCTCTCTTGCTTTCATCATTCTATCCTGTGAGACTTCCTTTTTTGCTGCAACTTTCATATAAGAACAACATTATGCACATATGCATATATATTTAGATACCTCAGTGTTGTTTTAGAGACCAACTATTAAAATTGTTAATAACCCATGACTCCATTTATCCATATTTTCATTTAAAGTTCTTGGGACTTGTGCAGGTAGATCATTAAGTATCTAATTTATGACTCCGGGTCGTAAAGTATGGCCAGATCAAGTATTTGTAGTTTATTCGCAAAGAACTTTATAGAATTCTATTTCAGTCTCACAAAGTCAAGCAGTTAAACTCAATGTGTTGTGAAGACTGAAGTCGTTCTGTGAAAAATTCTCAAAGAGTGTAGATTTGTCCAACAAATTCCTTAGAATGATAACTAAATCACAATAATGAAATCCGCAATAATGTATGTGGAATTTCGTGTGCTGAGAGGATTGACCCGCTCTGAAATGAAAGCTCTTCGCTGACTCGGGAAACAGGACTGCCAATATATCACATACAATACTCAAAGAAGCCATTTAATTAGCAAAGACAGGAAAATAAAAACAAAAAATAGAAAAAGAAAAACAATAATTTACTGGAAATATTTTTATAGCAGATGTTGAAGGAAAAAGAAGAAAATTAACATCTGAGATGCCAAATGTAAAATCAGTCAGTTCCTCAGTAAACTTCTCGCACAAGAATAGCCAGTAGCAATTCATGTGTACTGTGCAAGACTTCTGAGGGCCTCCCTCTATGTGGACCCATGACAGGCAGACAGGCGGGGCTGGGAAGTACAGTCAATGGATCAGGAACAGCTTTAACCAATTTAGGGACATCTAAGCCAAGTGGTAACAGCATGCTGAGTGCTTCTTGCAAACACACAAACCGACAAAACCCAGTGCCAAAATCCCATGACATTCAAGATCAGCACAAAGCAAGCTCCAGAATACTGGCTATATTCCCCCACCTGGGTTCTCTTAGCATATCATGCTGAACAGCAGCAGTTTCAGGAGCAGTTCTGGCACTACTCACCCTGGCTGGCACACTGTATACATGGTGACCTGTACGGGCATCTCAGAAAGCCATGAATGTTCAGGGGCGTATAGCGAGACAATAACCTGAGCTCAACAGGGTGAGGACAGGGGTTCTATACATCCATCTCTAATGGTTGCTCCAAAAGAGTTACCTCTTTTGTCTTTCAGTTGCTAATTCTCTCTAACTTATTCCGCTGCTTAACGTAGATTTAATTTGGCTGGTGAAAGAGGAAGGGCAGAGCACTTTGGAAACACTTTGCTGGAGATGGGGGATGCGTAGCCCAGGCTGACAGTGACTGTACAAAACCTCTCAAAGCACTCAGACTCTTGAGGGAGTCATGTAAGGAATCAAAGGGGGAATTTCTCTGTATGTATAGCAGGTTTTGTAGGAAGATGTCCAAATCAGGAAGCATTAGCGAGCTAAGGAAAATAAACGAGGCAGTCCAGAACCACTGGCAGGGGAACTTCCAGTATTTCTGGAAGCTTAAAAAAAATACATTCCAACTCTAAATTAATCTGAGACACACATGAGTCTATAAGGTAAAATGAGTTGAGAGTATTGTGAAAAACAGATTTGTAATATAGAGCCATTATGTGCTAAGAAACTAAGTATTTCATATTTTGTGTTAAATAAGTTAGTAAAAAAATATTGTAGAACTAGGAAAATTGCAGAAGGTTGATTTATTTCAGTTTGAGGGGTTTTTCTTCTTTCTGTGATTTTTCTTTTTGAAAGGAAGGAGTGTTACAAATAGAACTAGGAATTGCAGAAGGTTGATTTATTTCAGTTTGAGGGGTTTTTCTTCTTTCTGTGATTTTTCTCTTTGAAAGGAAAAATAAAGCAAACCTGGAAATACTGAGATTATTGTGAATTTTCCCAGCTGTACATTTCCATCAGTTACGATATTTTCTCTTTAAAGACAAAACATGCACAGGTATACTAACAAAGTTATTCGTTTGCCCCCATTTTTGGTAAAAACAAAGTAAAATCACATTAGAAGTATATAAAAGCTTAAAAATCCCCCCTTCTGGGGACATAGCGCGAGATCGAAGTTCATGGGTTTTGACCAAGAACATGTGCCAATTTTCAACAACTTTATTTTTATGACAGCGTAAGAAGCTCCTGAATGAGGAAATTTATAGTGGAAATGTTGGCAGGAATTTACCTAACGCTGTTTAAATGGTACCACTATGCTAAGAAATGCACTGGATACCAGACAGCTTTCTGTGGAAAATGATAAACATACAGGGTCTCTGGAGGGGATCTCAGCAGAGCCATTTTTATTATCCAGAATAGTGGCTCTCTTTACTGTGATGTTGTTTTTACACATGATATATGGGAATAGAGATGAAAATAACATTTGTTAGCTGTTAAAATTTTTATTTCAACATATTCTATAGTGTGTGTTTACACGATGCTCACTTAATTATTTTTTATTCCAGTAACTGTGTCTCTGGTACAGCCTATTTCTCTTCTCCCTTCTTTGAGAGTACAGTTGTGATGCAAACTCTCAGAATTACACTGTTGATCACTTGCATGCTGAGCTGCATGCTGGTAATAGGAAGTGCCCTGAATTAAGTCTTAGGAATTTAGACTGGTTCCCAGTGAAGAAGTAAACAAACAGCATGAAAATGACAGAGCAGGAGTTACACCTTCCCACCCCCTCCTTTCCAAACCAGACAGCATTTTGAGCCAGAATTTTGCACTTAGTCCATTCGGTATTAATTTGCATTGTTTTGCCATGTGAACAATAGTTAGGATGTTTTCCAGAATAGCAGCAGAAATTAAGATCTGTTATTTATAACCACAAATGTTAATATAATATCTAAGTATAATGTGCCTAGTTTTGTTTTCTGAATGAAAACTCTGTACTTCTGATGAACTGTAGACAATCTTTGTTTTTGTTACTTAATCCGCATATGCTTTCCTGCAGGGTGAGATCCAGCAGCTGTTGATTATAGCTGACCCCAGAGCTGCATATGACTATTGTGAGCATTATAGCCCAGACTGTGATTCCCCAGTGCCCAATGCTGCTCAGGCTCAAGATCCTCAAGTTGATGAGGTGAGTAATCAGTCACGTATTACCAGATTTATTGCACGTTAGTGGTTGTGCTGGATACAAGTTACCCAAGGAGCATTTACAGCTAAATGGCATGCGTTGTTCTAGATACGAGGGAGGAAGGTTGCAGGAGTGCATTCATTTTTGCTATCCACTCATTTATGTCAAGCATTTGAAGGAACCTATCATGCTGGTGTTTGGATAACCAGCATGCTCGACAAAGTTAAACTGTAATTCCTTAAAACATGATAGCAATATGAGTTTGTTTAGTTGTACCTATTCATTCTTCCTATGTACATTTATGATTTCACTGGTGCCGTGTACCATCAAATGCCACATTTGAAAGATATGGGAGCTATGAGTATTCTGCAATTGTAAACGTCTTCTGCTTGAAATGCCATGTATTCTGATGAGCTGTGTCCAGTGTACAAATGCATGTACGCACAAAATTATTTCAGCCAGCTCCACTCGTAGCAGGTAGATATCAACAGGGACAAAACAGAGTTGGAATTTTTCCCAGAAACACAAAAAATTTTTACAGAAACCATTTGTCACTGTAGACAGTTCTCACAGCTGTAAACTGAGTAATTCACTGAGGGCAAGATAGTTCCTCAGATTAGACCTCTGAGGAACAGCAGTTGTATGTATTGTTGTACACATTCTAAATACTTGCATCAAACGCTGTAAAGTGGAAAGCTTTTGCAAAATGTAACTAGTCTTTGAACTTGGCTCTGGACAGTTAGTGTGCACTCAGCTGCGTGTGATCTGACTGGTTATTGTTACTGACTGCTCAAGAGATCAGCATTAAAAACTTGCTGAATTGTTCTCAGATGCCTGCTTTGAGCCAATTTTGAGACAGAACTTTTCCTAAATACATGATAATTTTATTTATTGTTACTATTTATTCTATCTGACTGAAAATTATGTCATCAAGTGACTAAGATCCATAGGGCCCGGAACTTGGTTCAAAGGGACTCCCACATCCATTGTATCAGAGGTGTAGTTCAAGATGTGTCAGGTCAATCACACATAGGCAGATGCCTTCACACTACATTACAGTGTATGGAGTCTGGTCTCTTCATGAGGACCCTGTAGCACCTTCTGTCTGTGTGCCTGGCTACGTGGATCTCCATGCACTATATTCCAAAACAGAACAGGCTGAAAACACATTGTTGATATTTTATGGGAAGAAAATAAAACATAGCAAAACCAAATTAATTTTTTCCTCATTATTAAATTTCAGAGAAATTTGAAATTTTGCTTGGGAACTTTCCTGGGCTTTGCTGCTGTGTGACTTAGCACTCTGATTCTTTTTCTATTTCCTGTGCGAAGACCTGGAAGGTTTGAATAGGCTAGTGCTTTCCTACTTTGAAATAAGACTGAAGAGTAGTCAATCTAATAAACTCATTTTTGTGGGAAAAGGTTGTTAAAATCATCCCTTGGTCTCTTTCTTGAAGAGGAATATATCTAAATACTTAAAATGCTTTAACTAAGTGGGGAGTACTGTCACCTCCAAACTCACATCAACTCCTAAGCAGGAGTTAACATGGCTTAGAGAGATCGCAAATATTTGTTTGCTCTGGCCACCGCTGATGGCAATGACAGCTCCTGTCCTTTAGTGTAATGCCTGTGGACAAGGCTTGGAATCCACAGAAATTAGCTGGGATCAGACTGTAGATTCAAAATCTATTCAAGATGAAGAAGAATGAATACTTGTGCTTGATTAGCAGCAATGACTACTGGTGAATTACTGGAGTGTAATTCAATGTTTCTAAAGGATGTAGAATATTAATAAAATAGCCCAGGGATTACATTCCCTCCATAATGGATGACTAGCTAAGCCTCCTGCTGTCAAATATGTTTATACTGTATCAAAGCTGTTTAACACTAGCGTCAGTTGAGGGCACTCATTTGTAGATCAAAAGAAAAATAAGCCTCATCATAATTACAAAAACTATCTGCACGTATCTAGTTACATGCTCATCATATAGAATTCCCAGTTATATACTGCACATCTATTGAAAACAGTCCGCGAGCACCAAACAAAGAAAGGGAACCATAAAATCAAACAATTGGCGCTGTTCTCCTTGAGCATCCTGAGGAGAGATCATCTATAGCCTAACGCAGCTGCCACTGGAGCGTCAGCAAATATCATTAAATTCAGCAGCCATTGCAAAAATGCTCTTGGGGTTAGCGGTTTTTTAATGTGTTTTTCTAAGGCCTATTTTTTTGCCCTGTGATAACACATATAGTTTGTGGGAGCACCTACAGAGAAAAAAGTAAAATCAAAGATCTTCATTTGTAATGTAACGTTTTTAAATGAATTTGAAAAAATTTGAAAAGAGCTAAAAGATTAAAGAAATGGAGAACTGTCATTTCTGTTTGCTTCCATTTATTGCTTTGAGTGGTGACTGAATCATTTTGCTTTCCCAACTAAGACACGATTTCCTTGCTGCTCTCCATGAGTTTGTATGTGTAACTTTGTATGAATATTCCCAGTGAAGTCAATGGATCTCTTTAACATGTTGTGTAATAGTAACCTGAAATAATCACATCAGCAAGACTACCGGTGTGATGAATATGCAATAGAATAACTGACTGACTGAATTGCCCGGAATTATAGAATTGTCTGCTAAATGATAAAAAAGCAGCTTGTTAAAGCAGGCTACTTCATTATCTTTTGAGATACAGCCTATCAAATCACATAGATAATTAATTTTAAGGAAATAAATTAAACAAGTCTTATTTAGGTACTGGAAGAAGTTACAGAAGATAGCAATGCTGATTTTTTTAAACTCTTGACTGCAAAATCAAATAAGGCGTTAAAAGATAAAAATACAATTACAGCCAGTCTATTTGGAAAACAATTATTTCAAAATGCCTGATTGCATGTTTTGAGGAGATTACAAGTTTGATAGTGATATCTGATAGAATTTATAGACGTAGACCTTCGTAAAGCTTCTGATTTGTCAACATATGATATTTGTATGAAAGAAAAAAAGGCATTGTATGACAAAGGTAAAGTACCCGACAAACAGATTCAAATCTGGCTGCCTTATTTCAGAAATGGCTATAAACCGAGAGCTATCTCTGGATTAACTTTTTAGTAGTTTCTTAGGAATTGTGCTAGCACTATAGAAATGAGTGTAAAATGGATGCTATTAAAATTTGTCAGTCATGATTTTGTAGAGCAGTAAACAATGATGATAACACAACTAAAGGCAAAGTTACACACCTACAAGAAAAAGAAGGAAATGTAGGGCAACCATAGAGAGCTAGGAAGTACGCACTGCGAGACAGCCTGCTTGCATGTGTTAACAAAAGGACCTTTCGTGTGCAGCAGGTTGTCCCCATCCGTGGGCTTCATCTGCTGCTGGATCAGTGAAAGCAATTTTGAGGGTACATGATTTACCAGACTGGGATACTAATCAAGCTGAAAGCCAACACGAAAGGATTACTGTTTAGCTAGATTGATTTCCTAGTTTCATCTCCCATGTTTTCACACAAACTCTTGTGATAGAAAGAGGGAAGAGAGAACACTGGGCTAAAGGCTGGGCAGGATTGTGTCTTTCAGTGTCAGCTTTGGCTTACGCCATGTCGTGGTTTAATCTCAGTCGGCAACTAAGCACCACGCAGCCACTCGCTCACTCCCCCCCGGTGGGATGGGGGAGAGAATCGGAAGGGTAAAAGTGAGAAAACTCGTGGGTTGAGATAAAGACAGTTTAATAGGCAAAGCAAAAGCCACACACGCAAGCAAAGCAGAACAAGGCATTCCTTCACTCCTTCCCATGGGCAGGCAGGTGTTCAGCCATCTCCAGGACAGCAGGGCTCCATCACGCGTAACGGTGACTTGGGAAGACAAACGCCATCACTCCCAACGTCCCCCCCTTCCTTCTTCTTCCCCCAGCTTTATATACTGAGCATGACGTCCCATGGTATGGAATGTCCCTTTGGCCAGTTTGGCTGTGCCCCCTCCCAGCTTCTTGTGCACCTCCAGCCTGCTCAGTCGGTAGAGCATGGGAAGCTGAAAAGTCCTTGGCTAGTGTAAACACTACCTAGCAACAACTAAAACATCGGTGTATTATCAACATTGTTCTCACCCTAAATCCAAAACACAGCACTGTACCAGCTACTAGGAAGGAAATTAACTCTATCCCTGCCGAAACCAGGACACGCCAGCAGAAGCTGAAAATATTTGTTGGACAGTAGCCTCGAAAGATTCTGATTATTAAAGTAGGGAAACAGTTTGTACATGAGCACTCAAAGCAAAACTGGCAAAAAAATGCAGTGCATGTCTTGGTTTGCAAAAAAAGGAATAAGAATACAGATGCGATATTACTGCTCTGTATGCTGTTGGTTGAAACATATACTGGAACATCATATACCATCTTGGTGTTCAGTCACTAAAACAAATATTGCAAAAATGGAAATTATTCAAATAAAAGCTACGTAATTGCTGTAACTTTGGGAATTGGAAAAATTAATGTGTTTGAGTTGCCCACAATAATGACAAAAGCTTGAAATGTTGCTCGGTTCGCATATGCAAAGAACCTTCACAAAAAGAAAATACTGGCTGCAGACAAATGGGTAGGGGTGAGAAAAGAAAGTGAGTTAGATACTTTCAGATAGGAAAAGATCTACTAAAATTTTTAGGAATAAAAGAACAAATGACCAAAATGATATATCTCTAGATACCTTCAGGCCAAGGGTTGATACGTTTCTAAAAGTTTTGGGAAATGTCATTTATACTTTAGTTAGCTCAGTTACAGGGTGGCTGTAGGAAGTTTTGAAGTCTGAAAGTATACAGGAGTTAGTCAAGGTGATCTAATAGTCCCTTCTGGCCTCAGATCTCTGAGCCTTTGAATTATTGCAGACCAGAATAAGAAAATGATACTTGGCTTAGAGGAAAGAGACAAATTATGTGATTGCAGAGCCTATTAACCTGTGTTTCCAGCACTGACTACAAAACCCAAAGGAAGTGGTTGATTTTTGTCAGTGAAATA